ACCACTGTCCCCACCACCATTGTACCCTCCACTGTCCCACTGTTTCCACCTCATTCCCATTGTCCCCACACCACTGTCCCCACCACCACCGTCACCACCACTGTCCACTGTCCCCCCCTGTTCCCACCATTGTCCCCACCACTGTCCCCACCACTACCGTCCCCACCACTGTCCCACTGTCCCACTGTCCCCACCACTGTCCCGCTATCCCCTCACCACTGTCCCCACCAACACCGTCCCCACCACTGTCCGCACCCCCACTCGGTTTTCGAGGGGGGGGAGGGGGTGTGAACCGGTAGTGACCCCCCCGGTTTTCGGGGGGGGGGGGTGGGGGGGTTCGAACCGGTAGTGACCCCCCCCTTTTCCCCTTTTCATGATGAGCTGGGGGGGGGGAGGGGTTCGAACCGGTAGTGACCCCCCCCGGTTTTCCGGAGGGGGGGGGGAGGGGTTCGAACCGGTAGTGACCCCCCCCGGTTTTCCGCCAGCAGCGGTAGAACACGCTCTTTCGAATATTCGGGCCGAATTCTCAGATCGTACCAACTTACCTGACTGTCTGTAGGAAGCTTCACCGAAGGCCCCAGTGGCAGGAATCGCGTGCGTCCAAAGGCCCAGTCTGGCATCCCCCATCACACGCTTCCTGGCCCCATGGAAAGCTCCTCCAAAGATCCGAACGGAAGGCATCGCCTGGCGGCCCCGCCCCATTGCGGCGCATCCATGACACGTGTCGTGGCATAGGGAGCTCCACCGAAGGCCCCAATGGCAGAAATCATGTGCGTCCACAGGCCCATTCTGGCACACCCCTCACACGCTTCCTGGCCCCATGGAGAGCTCCTCCAAAGATCCCAGCGGCGGGCATCGCATGGCCCCTCCCGCGACGGAGCCGACGGTCCACACCGCCGAGGAGGCCAGCCTGCAGCGTCCCGCCGCGGGGCTGGCCTCATGCCGAGGCCGCACCCCGCCGCCAGCGCGGCCTCGGAAGAGGCGCGCGGTCCTCAACAGGCCACCGAACTTCGCGCACCGCCTCCCGCGATGCGCGACTCGCGGTCATCTTCGCGCCCTCGCGAGGCCACCTTGCGATGCGATGCGATGCGACCACCGTTGCGGACAGCGCCCGGGCCTAGAGCAGACCAGGTGGGTGAGGTCATGGCCTCTGGGATCTGAGGCGTCTGGATTCCAGCAATGCGAGACATGTTAAAGGTTAGGAGGAGAGGGAGGAGAAGAGCAAAACTCCCTGGCCAAGGATGTGACGCCATCTTCGCGGCTGTCGGGGGCGACCCGGGTTTGTCGTCGTCGTTGTGGCGCTGGCTGGGCCGTCGGTCGCGGCCTGGCCTCCGCGGCGCGGATACCCCGTCGCTGCCCCCGACCTCCGACGATGTGCTTTCTGTTCAACCGGCCTGAGTCCGGGGCTTTGCCCCCTCTTGGCCTTGACGTGAGGCCCCTCCTTCTGCCCTCCTCCCTCCATGAAAGCTGTGCGCGGCCCGCTGAGCTTCGACCGGGAGAGGCTCGCTCTCGACCCGCGGATCAAAAAAACGTTTTTTTCGGTTCCGGCCTCGGCGTCCAGTTGCCGGGCCGTGGGGCCATCAGACAGGCATCCCGGGGCCCAGCACTGACCCTCGCGCAGGGCTGCACCTGAACTTTTGTGTTCGGTTTCGTGTTCGTCTTCGTCTGCCCTCGTGTTGTCTTCGGTTCGAAACGAAAACGGCCCACGAAATCGAAACGAAAACGAAACGAAAACGAAAACGAAAACGCAATCGAAACGAAAAACGGCCCACGAAAAATCGCCAAAACAATCGTTTGGGTCCAGCCCTGCCCCTCGCGGGGAAGCGGTCGGAGCTCCAGGGCCGCGGCTTGGAAGGAAAAACAACTCGGCAGATGTCAGGATACGCGGTGCCCAGACCCCCTCGAGCTCCAGGGCCGCGGCTTGGACGAAAAACAAATCGGCAGATGTCAGGATACGCGGTGCCCAGACCCCCTCGAGTAATGAAAAAATCACGACGGGAGGTTTTTCGCCATTTTCGGCCTCTGGGGGCCCTCACCGGGCCTCGGGCGCGTCAAAAAACTACTCAGGATGACAAACCGGTCCTGGGGAAGGGGTCGGGACCTCTGGGGGTCGACGTAATGAAAAAATCATTACGTCGGGGGTCTGGGTGGCGTGGACACGTCCCGCGCTGGGGCGCCATGCGCTGGGTTGCGGCCTAGGGGCCCCTCCCGCGAGGCAGTGGACGTCCGCCCGCGTCGGGGATCGACTGACCCTGTTCAATCCAGACCCGGGCTAGTCAGGCCTTGCAGGATCCTGCAAGATCCTGCAAAGTCCTGCACGCTGGCGCGGGTCAGTGCACCCCCCTGGCTCGCCAGGATCCTGCAAAATCCGGCGCTCTGGCTGACCCCCGTTTGCATGGACCCCCATCTCTTGAGACCCGAACGCGGTGGCCGCCGCGCGCCGCTCTCCTTCCGGCGAGTTGGGCTCGAAGGCGACATCGACGTTGTCGAAGTGCCGGTCCTGCGGCCGGGCGCAGGGCTGGCGCCCCTCCCCGAGGCAAGGGCAGCACAGTATCGTGACGGCCGAGGGTTCGACACGTTCGGCCTCTGGGGACCGTACCGTCTTCCCGGCCCCGGGGTGGTCAAAAATGGCTCGGACTTACGTAGCCACTGCCCCAAGGGAACAAAAGTACGAGGGCAGAGCAGAGGGTAACCCGGCACTGGAGAGGACACCTCCTCTTCCTCTTCTTCCTCCTCCTCCTCCTCCTCCTCTTCCTCCTGACTCCTCCTCTATTTTCCCGATTCCGAAGCGGGCACACGCTTCCGCGAAGCCGAACGAGCGATCGAAAGAATGGATGGGTGTGGGCGGGGGTCTCTATCCTCTCGGGTCTCCTCCTCCCCCTCCTCCTCCTCCTCCTCCTCCTCCTCCTGCTCCTCCTCCTCCTCCTCCCCCTCTTCCTCCTCCTCCTCCTCCTCCTCCTCCTCCTCCTCCTCCTCCTCCTCCTCCTCCTCCTCCTCCTCCCCCCCCTCTTCCTCCTCCTCCTCCTTCTCCTCCTTCTCTTCCTCCTCCTCTTCCTCCGAGGCGCTGGCGGGGGCGAAGCCCTCCCCACGGCCCCTCGGCCAACGGAAGGGTCCATCCTTGCGCAACTCCACCCCACGAACACCTTCCTCCTCTATTTGGTGTGTTCCTCCGACAGTGGCGTGGGTGACGATAGGGAGGGAGGGGGGGCAAAGGGGGAAGTTGCAATGGCGGAAGCGACCGGCTCCGCGGGCACCCCCCGCCAAGGGAGGAGAAATCGAGTTTCGGGGGTCTGGTGCAAACCATCTGGGCGCTTCTCTGCCTTTTCAGGCCTTGTCGCGGTTCGTTGTTACTCCCAACGTCTTAGGTGAGGTTATTGTTTTCTCTGGGCACCCCGCGCTGAATGTCACTCCCTCTTTTCCTCATCCCCCTCATAATCAGAATCATAAACATTATCCTCATAATCATCCTCATCCTCATCATCAACATCATCATCATCATCATCATCATCATCATCATCATCATCATCATCCTCATCCGGAAAACCTTCATCATCCCCATCATCCCCATTACTCGAATCATCATCACCGCGATCATCCTCATAAGCATCACTGTCACCATCATCATCATCATCATCATCATCATCATCATCATCATCATCATCATCATCATCACCGCCATCATTGCAACATACCCATTATCAGCACAATCATAATCATTAGCACCACCGTCATCGTCAACATTATCATCAGCATCTTCATTCTCGCCGTCGCCATCGCCACCTCCATCATCCAGCTCATCTTGGGCATTATCACCATCGTAATCATCATCCTACTCACACACACACACACCCACACTCACACTCACTCATGCACTCCAACACTCTTATTGAGGACCGATCGATCGGGAGCCTCTCCCCTATGACAGAGAGTAGACTCGACCGGGAGCCTCACTCGCATGCCGTGTGAGTAGCGAGTACGTCTCGAGTGGGAAGTCCCATTCCTATGGCGCCCGCCCTTCGTGTTCGAATCCAAGGCGGGTCTTCGGAAAACTCGGCTAAGAATTGTCAAGTCGCTGGGAAGAGAACCGGGGCGCCGATGCACCCTTCGCAAAATTTCCAGCGGCCAGCGCACGCTTCGCACAGTCCTCAAGACCCGCGCGGAGTCGCCTCGAGCTGCGCGAAAACTCGGCAATGGCCGCGCCGACAGGGCCGAGAACCCGCCCGGAGCAACGGCACCAAGCAGCGCCCGTCGCGCGCAGCCGTTGCTCTCACGGCGGGCGCGACGCTAAGCAGAGATCTCGCCCGCGCGCCGCGCGCGACGCTGGGCGTCCCGCGCGACTCAAGACGCGCCCCAAGAGCGCGCCCAGTGGCCAATGGTTCGGGCGAACATGGCAATGGCAGGTGATATGGCCCCTGGCCTCAACAGTACTGGCGATAGGGCGGAATACTGGCAAATCCTGGTAGGCCTGACGCGCAAGGGAAAATAGGGATGAAGCTGCAAGCTCGCAACGCCTTGGCTACACATGAAAACGTTATGCGGAATCGTGTATATGGCATTCGGCATTCGGCTGCTATCACAGTTCCGCCTTCCTGGAACATATGATGTGTCAGATTGCTTGCCCTGGCCCAGAGAACTGCGCGACTGCGCCGCGAAGATTCGCGATTACTTTCGCGCGGTGTGAAAGCTCGCGCGGCGTTTTGACACTTTCGCGCGATCCTGACCTTGTCGTTTTGGCTCGGGTCATCCTTCCATTTTTTGCGCAGGCGCTAAGCGGCGCTTGGCGATCATTGCGCAGCCATGTTTGGCCACTTGTTGGTCAAATGGTGGCTATAGTCTGGTTGTGCTTGCGTGTTGCTATTGGTTTCGGGATGGTTTGATTATCTGTTGTTATGTAATTGTGATGGTTGTTCTACTCAATCACATGTTCTTGTATGATTTCAGCCATGTGCACTCCACGCGTACATCTTATATGACTGTGAGTATGTTATAGAATGGTCTCGTTCATCGTGCACGTTTGGTGCCGACGCGCACGCGCCATGCAATGAACGTTTACTTCCATGGCGATGCGATGCGTACTCGTCATCAGTTCCCATGCTCCTCCTCGACTTCGCGTCCCCCCCTCCTCTCCCTGCTGCTGCTGCTGCTGCTGATCCTCCTCCTTACCCCTCGTGACTCATCCCCTGTCGCACGCCAGTGGCCACGACCCCCTGGCTTCACGCAGCGGCCGCAGACTTCGCGCGCGACGTCGGGGCGCCGCGCAGGCCTCGCGCGAAGTTCTCGGATCGGCGCGCGGAACTCAGTGGCAGGGGCACGGGCGCCTGCCGGCGCCCGAATGCTGCAGGCACCCGTGCCGCGTCGACCCTGGCGCTGGTTTCTGACACCGCGCCGGATCGTTCCACCTTGAACGGTCGGCCGTCTCCGCAACGCCCGATCGTTCAGCATCGATCGATTCTGGGCACCCGTCGGCGTTCCACGTGGAACGTTCGGCGGCGGGGTCGCCGCCGGTCGACACGACGCGACACGACACGACGACACGGCCGGGGGGGAGGGGGAGGAGGACGAGGAGGAGGAGGAGGAGGAGGAGGAGGAGGAGGAGGAGAAGGAGGGGGAGGGGGAGGAGGAGGAGGAGGAGGAGGAGGAGGAGGGGGGGGAGGGGGAGGAGGAGGAGGAGGCATGGCGCCCGAGGGCCCTCCCGGAGGCGAAGAGCGCGGGTCTGGCGAGGACCTCTGGGGCGGGAGGCCCCCGCCCTGTGGGCCCCCGCGCGTCGCCTGCGAGTCCGAGGCGGGTCATCGGAACACTCCACGAGGCATGTAGCATCAACATCAACATCATCATCAGCATCATCAGCATCATCGTCGTCATCATCATCATCAGCATCATCATCATCAGCTTCATCATCAGCGATCATCATCATCATCATCATCATCACCACACCACCACCACCACCACCACCACCACCACCAACACCATTCATCATCATCATCATCATCATCATCATCATCATCATCATCATCATCATCATTCATCATCATCAATCATCATCATCATCATCATCATCATCCTCATCGTCATCATCATCATATCATCACCAATCATCATCATCATCATCTCATCATCGTCATCAGCGTCATTCATCATCATCATCATCATCAGCATCATCATCATCATCATCATCATCGTCATCGTCATCATCATCATCATCATCCATCACCATCATCATCATCATCATCATCATCATCATCATCATCATCATCATCATCATCATCATCATCATCATCATCATCATCATCATCATCATCATCATCATCATCATCCAGAGCGCCCCGGATCGGCGGCACTGGCCGGAGGCCATTTCAATAGCATCGGAGCATCCTGGGGGGCAAATCGTGTGTGACTCGTGGGGAAGTCTTGAGCGGGAGCCCGCTTCGCTATGGGGCCGCAACACTTCGCGTTCGAACCTGATGCGGGTCCTCGGAAAACGTGATCAGGCACAGCACTTGAGCACCCTAAGGAGGCAAATTGTGATCGAATTGGAAAAAAGTCTCGAGCGAGAGCCCGCTCACTATGGGGCCCGCATTTCATGTTCGAATCCGGGGCGGGTCATCGGAACACCCTACCAGGCATACCACTTGACCACATAAGAACACAACTTGTCAATGAATAGCGGGGACGTCTCGAGCGGGAGCTCTTCTCTTATGGGGCCCGCGCAGCATGTTCGAATCCGAGGCGGGTCGCCGGAAAACTCCATCAAAATATCACTTGAGCACCCTAGAGAGGCAAAGTGTCACTGAATTGCGAGGACATCTCGAGCGTGAGCCCCTTCCCTATGGGGACCACGCTTCACCTTCGAAACCGAAGTGGGTCATCGGAAAATTCGACCAAACAAAACACTTGAGCACATAAGGAGGCACATTGAGATTGAATATCACAAAAATCAAAAACGGCAGCACCCACCCTATGGGGCCCGCGCTTTGTGTTCGAACCCGACGTGGGTAATCGGATGATTCTCCCAAACATAACACCTGAGAGTCTTGAGGAACTAAGCTGTCACTGAAGAGCGAGGTCTTGAGTGGGAGCACTCTGCTTATAGGGCTCACCTTTCATGTTCGAATCGGGGGCGGGTCCTAGGAACATTCTACCAACACACACCAGTTGAGAACCCCACCGGGTAGAGTCGTCAGCGTATCGCGGAAAAGTCTCGAGCGAGAGCCCCATCCAATGGGGCCCGCGCTTCGCCTAGAATCCGACGCGGCTCATCGGAAAACACACAAGGCAAAACACTTGAGCTCCTTGACCGATAAGTCGTGAACAGAAGCGTGGAAGGCTAGAGCAGGGCCCCCCTCGTTATGGAGTCCGCACTTCACGTTCGAATCCGAGGTGGGTCATCGGAACATTTTACGAAGCATAGCACATGAACACCGTAAGAAAGCAAACTTGTGAATGACTCGCGAAACGATTGTGGTTTTATTGCAGGGCGTCGGCGGGTGTTGCGCGATTCGC